ATGAAACCTCAAACTCCTCATCAAAATCAAAATGCCTGCTGTGTCTATGTGAGAATCAAAATTCATTCAGGAAAGGACAAAATAGATCAATTATTTTGGGGGAATCTGCCATGAAAGTTGAGAGACTGATTGAGAATAGGGAGCCTGACTCTGATGTGGACAGTTGATATAATTAGGTTCAGTTGTAAACAAGTGAACATTTTTCACAGGCCAAATTTAAGATATATTAAATAATGTGACTAAATTATAAGTTGCAGTAACAATCAGCTTAAATGAAATTTTTTTAAGATTTGTTAATGACTGTCAATAGCTTTTTTCTTTTTCATAGTACGTGGGGGGGGGTTGCAGGAAATGTTGTCCCGTTATTGAGAATGGTAGCATTTAGGAAAGATCAAAAGATTGTCAAAATCTCAACTAGTTTTGGGGGGTTTTTTTTTGTGAAAGTGAGAGCAAACATTGAGAATCATTGAGGAAAGACCAAAAGATGAATGAGAATTAAATTAGTACGTGGATATACAGGGAGAAAAGAGAGAAAAGATTTTTCTTTCTTATTGAGGAAAGGACAAAATTATATTTAACACATAGTACGTGGAATGAACAGGGTTTGAAAGTTATGAAAAGATTGAGAATCATTTTGAGGAAAGGAAAACAAACATATTTTGCTTTGTAACATTTTCTTCTCCAATTCATTATCTTGTTTCTTTAGTGATGCTTGGATCTTCTATAAACAGTTATTTGCATATGGCCCTTCATTCTTATGACCATTCCTAAAAAGTCAAACTTCTTTTGCCCCCATTGATTGATTCAAGCTCTAGCTACATTGCAGTGACTGGTATTGGGATATTTTCTTGTTCCTAATGGGGGGTTACACTAAACTCTGAGAGAAAAGATTAAGAATAGGGAGGATTGAGGAAAGGACAAAATATCAAAAAATGTAAGTTTCATATACTTGAGGGGGGTTATTATATAATTGGAGAAAAGTGAAAATAGGTTTATTTGACTGGAAAGGATAGATGAAAGGGAAAAACATTACTAGAAGCTGAATAGAGTTGACTAGAGAAAAGTTTAAGTTTAATGGAATTGCTGTAAATGTTGAAATGATGTTCTCTCAGAATATTCTTCTCTTGGAAACCCATACTAATTGAATGCACAAACTTTATCTTTATAATTGCAGGGAATAATATCTCTATTTTTGTATCAGTTTCAAGTAATCCAATATTTGAAATGATATCCACAAATCTTAATCATGTTATAGTACTGTATTGACAATGAAAAACTTTTAGTCAGTTTAATTGTATAATTACAGTTTAGTTTAGTTATTCGTTTCACTTGGTGAGAAAACTTTAGATAATCAAGGCTTTCAATTACTTTTCTGTTTGATTTGTCAAGAATCTTGAGATGAATAGTGGGAGTGCCATTGATAACTGACTTATTTAACAATCTAAAGGTGAATGGTAGATTTTAAATATACAATAATGTAATCTGATGAGAAAGATTTTCTAAACTGCAAAGAAAGTGACACATTTTTCCTTGTAGTAGATAATAAAATTGGTTTGAAAAATTCAATTCATTTGGGATTCCAAGAAGGCATAGTGCATTGCTTTTCTTCATCACATGTTTTCTTAGAATGTCAGGCTGAAAATGAAACCTATTTTAACGTTATAATAATGTAGACCAGTAATCTGCCCTCTTGTATCTTGTAGCATGTTGGTTCTTGTTTTTTAAGACAGTTTTGCTAAGAGAAAGAGACTGCAAACAAAAGGCAATAATTTTTTTCCCCTTTTTTTTTCATTATTTAACAACCTTGAAAGGCTAACTAGGTGGCAATGTTCTCTCTTTTGGGCTACATTGCTAGGAATGTCCCTCTTAATGAGTGTCTAGTAGGTCACTCATCTGAAGGTCAGCCTCTCCATCTGCTACTGATTTACCACCAATTAAGCATGTGCCATTTTGAAATATGAGTCTATGGTCTATGAGTAGTAGTTCAACCAGTCAACTCTGTCTAGTTTTGTCACCATCTAAATATGCTCAGATGAATATATATATATATATATATATCAAAATCTGATTCATCATTGGAACTAAATTTAACAATTTCCCAAACCTCAAACTCCTCATCAAAATCAAAAATGCCTGCTGTGTCTATGTCTGGTATCAAAATTCATTCACCTCTTCATGAAAAATAGATCAATTATTTTGAATCTGCCATGTTGTTTAGACTGATTCAATAGCTAATTGCCTGACTCTAATATTCCAGTTGATATAATTAGGTTCAGTTGTAAACAAGTGAACATTTTGATCCAAATTTAAGATATATTAAATAAAAATAAATTATAAGTTGGTAACAATGCTTAAAAGAAATTTTTAATTTGTTAATTCCAATGGAATTTAAATTATGAGCACCATGGAATATTAAATTTAAGCTTTTTTTTATTATATATATATATGTTATTTTATTTTTTAATCAAGTTTGATCACAAGGAAAAGAAAATCTCAACTAGTTAAGACACAATTTTTTTTTTGTTTTAGGAAGCAAAAGAGAACATTTTACACCATTGCTAATAATTAAATTGCTAGTAATCAGGAAGAATCAGATAGCTTTTTTCTTTCTTATTCTAATTTAAAATTATATTTAACACATTTTCAGAATGAACTTGTTTTTAAGGTTATGAACATTTAGTCTCATTTTCTCCTCAGGAAAACAAACATATTTTGCTTTGTAACATTTTCTTCTCCAATTCATTATCTTGTTTCTTTAACTGTAAATTGATCTTCTTATAAACAGTTATTTGCATATGCTAAATTCTTAAAAAAAATGTCTAAAAGTCAAACTTCTTTTGCCCCCATTGATTGATTCAAGCTCTAGCTACATTGCATGAAACTGGTATTGGGCCAAATGGAGGTTGATGCCAGAACAAGACCAATAATATTGTTGATTCTTCTTTGGATCTTATCAAGGAGCTCTAGATAAATAGAAGGAACACTGGACAATATGTATCAGCAATATTCTAAGTATGGATAAATGGTAGACTGTAGACTGGTAGATATATAAGATAGTTTCTGGAAAGAAAAATTATCTAACACAACACAGTGAACCAAATTCCTTATCAGCTGACGTAGCAATAAATTCAATATAGTCTTTCCACTTTATGTCAGTGGAGAATGTTAACCCAAGAAGGTGCAATGAGTCACTCTCCTGTCAGACATACTGACAGAAGACAGGAAGAGACCTCTCAGATGATTAATGAAGAGCAGTTTAGTTTTGAAGGCATTAAAATTAGCAAGCCATTCCTTTCCTCAATTAACAATAGACTGAAGATTGTTTTGGATATCAGCTACCAATTTGACCTTATTGGACTGATCAGACTTACTATTGAAACAGGAGTAAATGGTTGTGTCATCACTGTAGATACCAAGTTGAGTGCTGATACCATCAGGAAGGTTATTAATGAAAATGAAAATTAAAAACAAAGTAGGTCCAAGGATAGAGCTCTGGGGGATACTTGCATTAGTACAGAAGAATCTAGAAGAGTGGCATTCAGAATAATTTTTATTTCATGATTTGATAAGAAAGACTGAATCAATTCAAAAATAACTGTAACTTTTCAGCTTGTGGAGAAAACCTGTGTTGTGTTCAGCTCAGACCAGGCACCAGGTTCATTAACAGAGTGCAGTTTCTTTCAGTCAAATGCTTGTGGCTTAAAAATTACCTTTTGACCAGATCGTTACCCATGCGTGAAGAACAAAACAATTTCTAGCAGTAAACAGGATTTTATTCTTACGTAGTAACTTACTACTATAAATGAGAAAAGGTGGGTTGAGGCGTGTGTGCATGTGTGTGTGTGTGGAGGGATGCAAAGTTCAGCAGCCATTGTCTATGTCATTTTGTGTGGCCTGCTTTGTTCTTTCTATTTTCTTTTGCGTGGAGTGGTCGGTTTTATATAAAACAGTTTTCTTTGTCTTGTTATCTTTGTCTAAAACGGTAATTAATCTTCTTTCCATCACTTTCTCTCAGTCTGAGCATCTTGCTCTTGTACTTTAAAGTTGACTCCAATTACTGATAATTTGGTTGAAAGTAAATGTTCCATATTGAGTTGTGCAACGGGCCCCGCTGTTTTTAAATTTAACAAGATATCTGCTTGACTCATATTGTTACACCTGTATGTCAAACTCTGTTTAAAACTTTCAAGATATCCAAAGCTACAGTCTTGGCTTCACCATTGTTATCTAGAGCTTGATAGACTCTTTTTGCAATTACTTTCAGTACACCAGCAGTTGACTTGGAGAAACAAAAGCCATATTGCTTGTTTGAAAAGGGCCCTATGATGTGAGATGCTGAACCAATTCAGTATTGATTATAGCCTTTGGAAGTTTTCCAAAAAGAAGTAGAAGGCTAATAGGCTGATAGTTGGAAGGGTCAGATGGTTCACTCGAGTTCTTAAAAACTGGAACAACAGATGAGAACTGCCAGCAGGCATGAAAGCATTTATTATACAGTTTAGAGAGAACAGGAGTCAGCTTGGAGCACACTTCTTAATAACTATTACAGGGATACCATTAGGTCTGCATGCTTTGTGGGGATCCAGGTTAGATATGATAGCAGAAAACCATAGAAGGGGGTTATATGTATATCACTCAACAGAGACTCAGTTCTAAGTGGGAAGTTAGGCAAGGATTTTCCAGATGAGTCAAGAGTAGAGTTTAAGGAGAATTTATGGGCAAAACATTCAGCTTTATCAGCAGTCAGTACTCTTTTCTCTTAGACATTGGTTTGAATCAAGTATTGATGATATTTCTCTTTATAAATCTATGCTTAATTTTATTGTATTTTAATCGTTTGCTTGTATTTACCTGATAAAGTACCAGATATAATCAGAATCAAATGAATGAATTCATCCCTTGTATTCTCTTTGATGTTTATAGATGTGGAGTGCTGTTGACCAACAAGATTATCTCTTGGCTACTCAGTCTTACATGCTGTCTCGTCATGTTCATACCAGTTTGCAACTAGAAGCACAGCAGTCAGCAAGTATTCTGTCATGGTTTCCTGTCCTTAGCCGGCAATGGACTGCCATTAGCCATTTTAAAGCTACCATTCTACAGGTAATTCATTTTATTTTGTTTTTACAAGTTTTTAATGAATTTACATTTTTTTTGCAGATGATTTGTAATTTAAATTTAGTATAAAATTATAACATTTTAATGATTTAAAAAATATATGATTTTATTTTTACACTCATATGCCTCTCAGGTTGCATTGTTAACTGTTAGAATAAAAACATGATCATATGTAATTGTACATTTTTAGTGGTTTTTACACTCACCTGTGATAACACATGCAAATTTGAGAATAAGGTGCAGGCTTCTATGATTATGAGATAATGGTATATATTTTTACGTATCAAGAACAATATTGGGAAAAATACATGACTAAGAGGAAAAAGTTTTCTTGGGACATGTTTTGTTCCTTAAATTTAGTCTGATGAAGTCAGAAATGCATCACAAGAAAACTTTTTACCACATTGTCATACATTTTCCCCAATATATATATATATATATATATATATATATGATTGAAATAAAAGTGTAAAACTTAATATTACTAGACATATTAAAAACGGGCGAAGCAACTGGTTTTGTTCCCGTTCTTCAGGCTTCAATGGGAGATTTAATTTAAAATTAAACACAGAAAAATGTACAATAAAAGGAAGTTGAGGGAAAAAAAAAATCAACTTCCTTTTATTCTACATTTTTCTGTCAGTATCTTGATTATGTCATTATTCTTTCTTTTAGTTAAAAAGCTGTTTGAGGATAGCCAAAAAGTGGGAAAATATATATTACTAGAAATAATGGAATTTAACAGTAAAATTTGAAATGCTCACCTTTTTAGATTTATTCTCAATCCTTTTTGGAAAATAGAAATATTTATTGAAGCCAATTTTGGTAAATGACTGTAGACATGGAAGTAAAGAACTATAATTTGTTATTAATTCTTTGTTGGGGTGTTTCCCTATCCATAAATGAGATCAGTGAATTATTTTTGACAAATCTTATACAGGTGAATCAAATGGACTATCCAACCATTTGTCTTTTTTCTTAATTAGTGCTTCTTCATTAGAATGAATTTATTATTATTGACCTTTTCTGATTTTAAACATGTATCTCTCTACAATTAATGCAAACTTCTTTTATGTGCCTTGTCCCTTCATGACGTTGGCGATCATAACTTTTGACAATTGCTTGTCCATTGTAGCACTTAGTAAATTTGATCTTTTTGTTCTTTCTCCTAAACCCTCTTCTGCCATCCATTTATACAAGGTTGTTAGGCATGTTATGCACCATTTTTTTCTGTCCCACTTGCCTTCAATTTGTCTTGTGAGTATTAAATTTTTCAAGTTCTCTTTCCTCATTACAGGGTGCAATGGGTAAATTGTCGCCATTTTATATTTTTAATTTCATGCATGCACATTGCTTGTTTTTGATTTTGTCATTATTGAAGGGTCACTAGGGCACTATGAGAAAAAGAGCACCATGATGCAATTCACTCCACCAGAAATTTGGAAATGGCATGCTGTACTGCTTGGCATTTGTGCTTGAGTGTTTGGGTATCAATCTGAAGACAGGGAAGAGGATTTGGAAAGAGTTGAATGATATAGCCAATCAACATCATGGTGTTTGGAGTGATCACTCCATCATGGCGATATTATGCCTCCATTCAACTTCCCACAGGGTCTCAGACTCAACATGGAGGCCTACATCAAGGGCCTTGAGGAGGTAGTGCAGTTCTGGGTTACAAGATGGTGTTTGCTGAAAGAAACTATCACACAATCAGGAGAAGCCAGTCATGGGTGTCAGACAATTTCTGTGACCACATCATCTCTTACATATAGCCACCTAACCTTGATTATTATGTGTGGGGTGCAGTTGAGGGACAGATTACCAAAGATAAACTGAAAGCAATGATTAAAGCAGCATTCACCAATGTAAACAGGGAGACTGTCCAGAAGAGTTGTACGACATTCCAAAGTTGTCTGGAGGCCATTGTTGAAGCCAATGATAATTTTATAGAATAAATTTACTCTTTAGTATTTCAAGATATTTTTGTGTAATTTTGGTAAATATATCTGTTAAAATGAGATGTCAGTATTATTTATTTTATTTATTTATTTTTTTTTTTTTTTTTGGCATAATTTATACGACAATTTATCCATCGCACCTTGTAGATAATGAATTTGTTATCAAGCAAATGATATAAAACTAAGAAAGAGCACCAAATTAAGTGCAGTGGCTACTGAGCTTGACTTTCAAAACAATGAAGTGAGTTTGTTTCTTATTGAACTTTCAATTAAGAGGCTCTCATACCAGAGTTTCTATCATTTAACAAATATCTGAAAAACAACAAAGATGTCTGATAAATTAATTCAGTTCAGTGAAGGTAAAACAATAGTGTCATAATTTGTTTTGCATTGATTTTTGCCACAAATCCTCAGGTAGAGGGATACATTTATTTGTGTATTTGTATCCATAAATAATAAAGTTTTTATAAGATGACTGCAACATTTATGATATATTTAGTATGTATTTTTTCTTTGCAAATATCTTTTTACTCTTTTATATATTAATATACATGTAAATATGGTCTTGACATTTAAATATGAGAGCACAAAAGTAAATTATAAGTAAATTTGTGTGGTTTCTATTCATGAAAAAGTTAATTTGTTAGAATTGATGATTATATATTGTTGACAGTTATTTGAAAAAATGAATCAAAATTATTAGTGAATTATGAAATTGATCTGATTATTTTAACATTTATTTATTTTCTCAAATCCATGTATTTTTATATAACATATATGTATGTATGACAAAGGTTTAATATCATTCATTTTCTTAATGTAGGGTTGCCGGAAGCTACTACGTGATGTAACTGCAACTGATAAGGTAAGTAAAAGTAGATATTTAGTTTTACTTTGATCATTATAAAAACTCTTTAGTAGATTTTTGTACTAGTTTTTATGTTTGAGTTTTATTTTTTTGTCTCAAACAATGAAGCAATTTTTAATGCATTCCAGTTGACTATTTGATGAGCTGCAAGTCATTTTAGATGAAATGATCAATATAAAAGAAATGATTTTCTTTCATTTTATTGTGGAGATTTTGTTATATTTAACATCTATTAAGGAAAATGGAAACTTTGTATATCACATTTATTTGACAAAACAGTACATGTAAAATGTTAAGTTACATTGAGAATTAATTGACAAGTACCACATCTCACTCAGTGATAACTTCGAAAGGTGTTCAATTCTATTAAGTATTTAACATATACTTTAGCTAAAAAATGACAAGTGATGAAAGGAGAAATTTGTTGGGTGGGGAAGAAGGAAGAAAACATTAGTTTGATGTTATATTTTTTAAAATGCTATATCTTTTCAGGACATAAGCAATTAGGGCTCTCCACATCTTCCTTTTCTTTTAATATCTGGAATAGTGTATTGCTATAATGGTTCTTCTGGAGTGGTTTCCTGTTACCTTCTCCATGGTTTTGAATTCAAATTTTTTTTTTTAAATTGGTTACAAATCAGAGATAATGTGGTCAATCTGCCTTGTTATTTTATTCATACCAGGGTGAGGAATACCTGGATTCATTTTTTTCACAGAGTGAATGTAACAGCTTTAGCCAGAATTTGAACTTAGCTTCTTAATTCCATTATTTTTTGTAAAGTTGTCAGCTCACCTTTCTTCCTTGGTTGTTTATATAGGCCTCTTATAAAAAGATAATGCATTATCAAAAGCTGATAATACTACTGTAAAATTTAAGAGGCAATGCAGAAAAAATAATTACTAATTTTGAATAATATTTTTAAACATTTTGTTGAACTTGGTTAAAATTGTTTAAATTAGGAAGATGCCAAGTCATGCTGATTTCTTTTAATGCATTTATTTTTCTCTCCAAGTATCATTTATGTTCAAATTATTTCTGAAAGTTTTTGTTTCTCTTGTCATTGTAATCTGTAGTGATGCAAACTGGAACTTACCATTTTACTCTCTCAGCTTCACTGAATTCAAAGATTTTCTAGTTTATTCCTTGGATTCTCCAAATAATTTGAAAAAAAAATCTTTTATCATTCAGTTGTAAGCTGTCATCTTGAAATGCTTAGGTTACTGATGTATTTTCTCTTAGGGTTTGTTATTCTGTTTTTCAACTTTTGTTTGCAGCAAATTGCAGATGCTCTGTGTTCTATTCTTCTACTTGAAGATAGTACACCAAGACAAGTTTTCAATGAATTCCTTCTTGCCAGAACTGTAAGTATAATTCTATCCTCTATTAAGACAAAATGAAAAGAAGAACAGTAATTTTAAGTAGGATTCTCTTTATTTTCAGTGAATAAAACTCTGTGTAGTATAGTCAATGGGTGTAAACACTTGGCTGTTTTCTCCTTTTTTAAACATATACTAAATATAAAATGTTAAATTTTGTAGTAATTTCAGTTGATATTATTTATGCTTTTGATCTGCAATTTTGGACTCCTTCTCAAATGATTTATGTTGTTGATTAAAGAATTTCTGTTCAAAATATTATGGTCTAATGTACATGATAAATTGTAAGAAATTGTCATATTTTTCTTTGTATGCACAAAATAAGAAGGATTTAATTTTCTTTTCAAATTTTCATGTTGCTGGGTGGCTTTCTAGTTTCATTTGATTTTGTGCAATCTTTTTATACCTCACAAATTTATCTTAATTATTTAAAAATTTAATAGCATCTTTTGTGTTATGGAAATTCAAACCTTTTTTTGCTATTTTAAAATTGAACTGGCACAAATACATTTAAATTATCAATATTGAACTTGTTCATTTGTATACTTTTATATGATTGACTGAGGTAACTCCACCAACATCCATAAACTGTACCCTGCTGAAGAAAGCAAGAGTTTTTGGTAGAGGACCTGAATTACCTGATGTGCTTGCAACAGACAACACAATAGAGTTTAGTGGTGGTGAATATAAGACATTTTTGAGTTACAACAAAATAATGCATATGACATTAGTACCTAGCCATCCATCATGAAATGATCCAGTAGAGAGACAATGAAATGCAACAGAATCCTGTTCTTTTATTTCCTTTATTCTCAATAACATTTTCTCAGTTTCTGTTACTCTTCACTTTTCAAACCCCTTGCATCTGAGTGACAAAAAAAAAAACAAAAGATGACAATTTAAATTTTTGAAGCTCATAGTTCAAAGGAAAGCAGGAAACTGGAAGAGAATTCTGCTAGTGCAATAGAAGAAACTGTTAGCATAAAACAGGGTTACATCTAGCCATATTAACTGTAAAATGATGAGACCTAGCTGCCAATCTAGTACTGTTCTTAAATTTGTGAAGTTGAAGTATCAAAGAGAAAAGCTTATCAGAAAATTAAAATATTTATAGAAAAGGCACAAGGAAACTATGTTACAGTGGTGGAAAAATGATTGAAGCCGAGATGCCAGGTCAGCACTGATAACATTATAGATCCTTTTTTGAAGAATCTGTAGATATATAGCAGAAGCAGCAGACCAAATGTGTCAGAAATATTAAATGCATAGTAAACTTGTAAAATAGATTCTGGCAAGAAAAATTGTCCAGCATGACATAGTGAATCAACTTTTCTAGAAGCAGATCTAGCAATTGATTCAATATAATTATTCTATTTCATGCTAGTGAAAAACTGTAGACAAGAAGGCACAATGAATTATTTTCTTGGAGGTTAGCATCAGCCATGCTAATGGAAGGCAAAAAAGGTTCTCTAAAATGATTAAAAGAGTGCAGTTTAATTTTGGATATTTAGATATTAGATTTTGGTTAAAATACTTTGTTCTTTTGTCTTTCAAAAAATCTTCTATAAAACATCTTATTCAAAGTTGTTTTTTTTTATTTTGTTTTATTTTTCTATAGAATGCAGTGCAACAATTGTTTCATGTGTCTCAACAAGGCATTGGAGTTAAGCAACAAATCTGCCTTGTAGTACAACTTATTGTTCGTACTGTGCATCAAATACACGCTGTATTTTACACAGCAGAAAATGATACTTTAAATATAGACACAAATGGTATGTCGACCCTTCTTTCTACAAAACTCACATATTACTTATATAAAACCAAGTATTTTTTGGTTTGTTTTTATGTGTGTCTGTGTGTAATGTGGGGGATTAAATTGGATTGCCATTTGATTTTAATGATAAACAGATATGAAATTGAGATACTGTTGTGAATGTCTAAAAATTTTTTGTTTGGGAACAACAAATATTGGAAGATCTTCAAAGAAGGAAAAATATTTATTGTCTTGTCAAGACTGACCCATGTAACCTATAAGCTGCTATAAAAAGGGTGCTGAAAAGTTTCTTCCCAAAATCAGTATTCTTGTGTTTAGTCATTAATGTACTGATTTTGGCAAGTGGCTTAGCCTAAGAACTTTTCAAGAACCCTTTTTCTGTGTGTATGAATATGAATGAAATTCTACTTGTGATAACATAAGTTGCATTATTTTTTAGTTTTAGTATTTTGTAGTAAAATTGATACATTTGTCATAACATCACATTCATAAGTTTTTTTACATTGTATATAAATAATGAATATTTCTACAATATCATTTTAAAGTAGTTGGCTATTTTTTAATAATATATTTTGAAATGATGATATTTCATTAAATAAAAATGCAACTGTTTAAATTTTGTTTGTGTTTGACTGACTTGACAGATTAAAAGTTAAATGCAATCATTACATAATTTTTTTTTTAATTGAAATCAGTTTTTATCTGGCCAACATTTTTTGCTTTATCTCTGTTTTTTTTTATAATGGAATTAAAAAAATAGTATAATTTTATTTATTTGAATATTTTTAAAAATTCCATTTTGTACCACAATTATTGATATGCACTTTTTATTGGAAAGAATTTATTCTTGTTTAAAATATTCAATCTTTTGGAAAAATTACTGATATTGATTTTAGTTTTCATTACATTTTATAGTTATACATCATTTATTATTTATTGTACAATTATTATTTGATACATATAAATAAGATTTTGAAATATAATGATTGTTCTTGTTTAACACAATATCTATGCAACTTGTGATATGATGGGCAGTGTTTATTAAATACATCAAAAGTTTTATTCACTTTAATGATTACATTTGCCATGACAGTAAATATTAAAGGCAGTAAGCAATAATTTTAATCTTGTGTGCAGGTATAGTAAATATAAATGAAAAAGTTGATCATTTAATAATTATTGATGTTTTACTAGAAAACTTGTGCAAAAATAACTGCAGATGATTGAGAGGGTACATCCTCACCCCATATGTACAGAAGTATGATTTTATAGTAATTTATAATATATCTAGCTATTATTATTATTAGCCTATATTATATATAGCTATTCAAGAAGATATTGACTTAACAATTGCAGACTCTTGGCTTAATAATCTCAGAGTCTTGACTTAGGCAATTTGTGACAGATGTCAGAATATACAACTTATATTTTGAATCTGATCACAGACTTCTTGTAATGAAACTAACAACACCAGCCAACAAAATAGCTCACTTCTTCTCATATAACATTGAGTCATGTCAGTACTTAGATGGGTGCCTGCTTGGGAATATCAGGTTCTGTAAGCTTGAATGTGTGGCTAGTGTATTGGATAATGACTCTGATTTGGAAATCAGAGCGCAGAGTTCCAATTCCAGTTGGGTTTGTTATATTTATTTACATGCAACTACTCTCGGGAAAGGTATGGATCCACCTCTTCTCCCACCAGCTATGGGTTAGTTACTAGGACTTGTGTCACTAAAACCATTATTATTTTCAAAAAATTATTACAAAACTAAAAATATTTTCTGGTTTTAAATAACCTGTAAAGGTTGATAAACTGTGAAAAAACTCACTCAATCAGCTCACATAAATCACAAAAGATACCTAGATATTACATCCAAGTCCTTAAAAATGAAAATGTAAGAGTAGCATTCTGTGATACACTAAAGTGCAAATTGGGTTCTGAAATCTTGACCAAAACAACATAGAAGAATCCAGTAATGTCATCTTATCCTCCTTAGCTGAAGTACATGAGACCCTTCCAAAAATACCTAGATGGAAAAAGATCCTCCCATGGAATGACAATCCTCATTTGAAAAAGTTGATAGAAGAGAGAAACAAATAGAATCCAAACTGATAAAGTCAAACATTTGTGTTGAAATGTGGAGAAAAACAAAAAACATGGTAGCATGATGCAAATGAAACTAAAACAGAAGAGATGTCCTGGTTTCAAAAACACTGAGTCACATTTCAATCCTGACCATGCTGAAGATGCCTGTGGAAATAAAATATACACCAATATATATCAAAGCATAACAAATTTTGTCTTCAAACATAAACAACAATGGGCCTAGTAATAAGGAAGTCAAGAAAGCTATAAAAAAACTAAAGAAAATAAAGCATCACTTGACATTGAGTCTGAACGTTTGAAAATAGCATACCCTCTCCGCAAAGTTAAAAAGATGTTTCTCGCTTTCAGGAATGAAGTCTGGAATCAGAAGTGCATCTCAAAACATTTGGGTATATTGCCCATTAATATATTATGGAAACAAATTGTTAGTCCTCTACACCATCAAATATACAGAGGTATTTCAATTGTATGCATTATAGTGTAAGTAATAATGAACATTAGACTCTCACCATTCTATGGATGTCTACTCCTCATAACCCAATTTGGCTTTAATTCTGATAAAGGAAATAATGGTGGCATATATGTCATTAAACAACTCCAAAAGATTGCATACATCTCCAATAAAAAAAAATTATATACCTGCCATATTGACCTCACAGCTGTATATAATCACATTAATAGAGACTTCCTCTTCTCAACCATTAGAAACACTTTTCCAAGTTTTGACTCTACAGACTGCCTAAATTTGATAAACGAACTATATAAGTCCACATATTCTTGCATGTATGATGAGGACCCCCTAGAATGAAACATTTCAAACATCATCAGGAGTATGACAAGGGGGAGAGGAAATGAAAGCTCTAAATCTATTTGATTTCTTCCTAAACTAGATCTCTGGATATACAAACATAGATGGGAAGAGATAGACACTGATCATTTAAACATTCTATACCACATCCCAAATGAATCTATTAATAGAAAACAGTGTTTTTGCTTTCTAAATAAACTTTTCTAAAACAGAAAGTATGATCTGGAATTGGCATGAAAGCAATTATGGTATGTACCATGAATTCATCATAAAAATTCAGGATGTGGAATTAGTAAATAATAATGTCTGGATCAATTAGAATAAATATAGTATAGGAGATAAGGAAATTGAATATAGAATAGGCTGGCTAGTGGTAGTTTCACGCAACACTGCAAGTTGCTACAAAGCCAAAACATTAACCTAAAAGCTCAAGTCATGTTCTTAAATAACTTCATCAGGTCAAGATGTTCATATGGATGTCATGCATGATGCTAAACTAGTTCAGAAATATAAACTGTCAGCTGTATACAACTGCTTTCTATGATCAATGGCTAATGGTGGCTTTGAATGGATGAAGCTTCTAGGTCTTAGCAAGGACCATCTTTCTTTGTACTTTGTGAACTGGCACTACAGAAATACAAAAAACTCTACCAAATAACAGACACCATATTCCTTGAAGACTTTCAACAATAGCAACAACTAAAATGCATAGCAAATGTCACTTGAAGAGAAAATAATGACAAGAAGTTGATGTTCCATGCTACATTAATAGAAAGATTAGGAAGGAAACTCATCAATACTGGAAAGAGCAAGAACATCTACTGGACTTGAGAAACCTATTTTCCTGAAAAATTGTTCTAATAGAAAGATTTTATAAATTCTAACCCAAAGTAACACTGGTTGCTTGGTCAAGGAAATTTGAATGTTTCCTTGTAAGGAAATGGCTAATATTACTATATTAAAATTACCATAGCTTACTCTTGATGAGATAGTTTTGTTGCAAAAGAAGATTGTTCACAGGTTTATGAATGAATAAATAAAAAACATCATAGTAACGTTAGTGTTAAAAAGTGGAATTGGACTTTTAAAATTTTTTACCTAAAATTTGTTTCAGCATTCAGTCTTTATGATGTAAACTGAAAATCGGAAAAAGATTTTCTAGCAACCTTCTATTTTAACTAGGAAAGATAACTCTTTAAAAATTTGGGAGAGTTGATGTCCTTAGATTTTACATATTTTTTTTTTTCTTGCCTTTTCTGTAATATAAAATTTTCAAAGGCAATCATTTCATGAAGCATTATAAAAGTGTTAATATTATTAAAAATAACAATAATCCATACAGTTACATATGATAATATGTGCAAAATATATGACTATATTAACAGAAATGATTTCTTTGAAAATTAAGGAAAACTGCTGATTATTTTAAGAATTCTTCTCATTTCCTGACCTCATACCTATGAATAGGAAATTAGTTTTAGACAAATATCAATATTTATTAAAGTGTCTTTTTTTATGTTTGTAAAGCTTTTAAAACAATTTTAAAAAATTTTTTATTTCAGTGCCTTGTAACTTACTTTATAGTATTCTGGAAAAGGTTACCAATACTTCACTTAAAAGTAAGTTAAATATTTTATAATTTTTAGTATATTAAAAAATTTTTTTTTAATTTGTTATTTTGTCTTTTTTTATTCACTTACAAAAATATGTTTGGTTCTGAATATGAGACATGAGTAATTAGGAACTATTTAATTTTCAAAAGCTGAGTGAAAACTATAATTGCTTTTTGAAATGTGTATTTATTTGTAATAATATAGTGAAGATTGATAATTTAGGAATATTGTTCAAATTTCTCAGAGCAACATACTGAAACCTTTTAATGTAAAGTAACATAATGCTGAAAAATTTGTGTAAACAATCTAACCTTTCAGGTTGAAAATGGGATTCAGAACAGAACACCTGTAGCTTTTGGAAAATTAAGCAAATTTTTATTATCTCAAAAGTGAAAGCTAGTTGATATTTTTGGATATAACTGAAGCAAATATAATATTTATGTGCATTAAACCTTTGGTTATCTAGTGATAATTTGGTTTAAAATAGCTTTTGAGATAATTAGCTCATTATCCAAATTAATTACTGAAGAAGAATAAAGTTGGAATTGTTACCAATATTGACACTTGTACATTCAATACTTAAAAACAATACTTTTAAGAAAATGTTGAAAATGCTTTTAATTTCAAACACATAACAACAAATATCAGCATGTTTTAGTAAAATATTTAAATTGTCTTTCCTTAGCTTTTATCTCAAATTACACAGTTCTATATGTCCTTTTAGATTTACAGGGAAGAAAGTTCCATTTTGAAATATTAAGTGTAAGGCTGTTGAATAATTTTTAACCGTATCAATCAGAATGTGTTACATAAAAGTAGAACTTTCTTTATAAGGTCAGTTAGGACAATTACTTTGCTTCTGAGAAATTGAACAATGAGATTTTTATTGTTGTTTATTATTATTTTCATGCATTGTATAAATGTGGATGAGCTTCTGAGCTTCTTATAGGAGCCTATATATATATATATATATATAAAGCTAGGATGGTGTCTCAAGACTTGAATGTCAATTTTCTTCTCTAGTGTTTGGCATCAGGAAGAGCATCTGGCCTTGTAAAACCTCACTTTAAATCATTATGACAAATCCTCTGTTAGGCAGGACTCACCTTGCTTCATGTGAGATTAACTCCAGTCTTGCTTCTACAAAAAAAAAGTGTATGTATGTGTAAACAGGTGTGATGGTGGTATTATATTAGGTTATTAGTATGGAAAATGAAATTGCAGGCTGGCTTCAAATTCTGACCAAGATTATTTCATTCACTTCATATTAATGGCCTGAGTAAAGGCAAAAAACACATCTTTTCTCCACTCAGCTATGGGTAAAATGCAGAATGAGTCCTCTAGCCTTGGTTGATAACCAGTCTAGGAAAAAAGCAGCTAAATTCAAAACTGTAGAGAAGGCAGTCTGAAAGGATTCCATTACTTTTTCTTTGGACAGTCCACAAATACATCAATATCAAAAACAAAAGGAAACTGTGGAGAAGCATGATTGCTTATATCTTGAAAGGAACATGGCATTTGAAAACAAAGTGTGTACAAGTGTATTAATAATCCAGTAGAACAAAATAATTTGATGATGATATCCAAAAATTAATTTATATTTTTTAAAACTTGACATTTAATATAAAAAGATGAAGCAGACCTTTCAAATCTATTGGTAAGTATGATGTCATATACAAAAGTTTAAATAATATTTGGATCTTAGTATTAAAAAATTAAATTTCTATAACTCTAATTTGCATAAATGTGCAAGAGTTTTTGTTGAAAATTTTACATAAGTTTATTTTTTTTTTTGCATGACATTTACAGAACCAGATGTTTAATGATAGCCTATATTTTATGTTCTCCTTTACCTGATAACTTCATGTAGACCTATCATGATGAAAAAAATCCGCAAACTTTAAAAAGTATACTTAAAAATAAAATTATAGAAAAAATTTAAAATAAATGAAGAACAGTACTATGGAAATAACTTTTCCTTTGAGATATTTTTAAATCATTTGTTTCAATGAATACTATTGTCTGTAAAAGTTGTGATATGTAATTTGTACATTATCATTATTATGAATGTGCTGCTGAAAAGTTCTCAGCTCAACTCAAAATCTAATTAAATGAGAATATTTTTGGAAAGAGCTTCTTGGTTAGGCCAAGAACTTTTCAGCACTGCCTTGTATTGAAATGTATATAGTGAGAATGTTCAGAAATAATAACACTGTAAAGTTGAAGGTATTTATATTGTTGATGCTAAATACTGAAGGCGACTTTTTTATTTTTTTATTTTGTTTAAAATGCTATAATTGTAAACACCTCGATAGGTATTTTGAAAATAAAAGGTAGTTATTGAAATAAAGAATTTATTTATATTAGACATATATTATTACACACAGAGAAACAACCCTATAGTCTTAATGTTTCATTGTATTTTATAATCAAGTTTAATAAACTTTATTTTTAGAATATTCTCAATAGTCTTACAATATATTATTATAATACTCTTATCTGTTATCATTGTGTTGCTCTTTCATATTTATAAGAATTGAATGATTCAAAGCAATCAACAATTTGGATTACTAATTTGGATTAGTATAAGCAAATATGCTTTTGAATATATTTTATTTTTGTCTTTGGAGGAAATAACTTTGGTCATATTCAATTGATATTTATTCAAATTAAGCCAATTTATGGAATATTGAGTGAAAAACCTAATTTACTCTCCAATGTCTTTTTACACCAGCATATGAGAATTTTGAGAATAGTGCTGACATTTTATTGCATCCCATATCTGTGTATTCATATTTATTTTATGTTTAGATCATTTTTCATTTGCAGTTATATAATAAAAACAAAACTTGTAAAAGTGGAAAAATAAATTAAGATGCTGAATTCATTTAAACACTAAACTAATAAAGAGTTTGTTTAATGGAGATATTTTTAAGATCATCAATTATCTTTGATATGTTAGATTTATTTCTTTGCATCTCAAATTATCTTGTGACTCTTTTATTGAATTTGTTTTAATCTAACAAACTAAATCCTGCTATTAAAACCAAATATGCTTTTGTTTTCTGCAAATTGTTCTCTTAAAACAGGATTGGAGGTTAATGATTAGAAACCTTCGTTAATCATTTTGTTTTAATGTCTGGCTTCTCAAATCAACATATTTGTAAAGCAATTTTTAATATAAAATTCATCATAGTTATTAATTTTCTGTTCTTTAAAAATTTAAAATGGACTGCAAAACGTTTTTTAATGTTGTCATTTTATTGTTTACTACCCCTACACAAATATATATATATATATATATATATATATATATATATATATATATATAATAAAAGTTCTCACTCTTCTTTCCAAATTGCCTCCATTGTTATTGAATCATGTTATTTTTCCAAATCTGAAATTTTTTTTTTTCAAATCTTTCCTGGCAATTAATCACTGTTCGTATTTATTCTGAACAAATCAACAAATGATATTGTATAACATGAATGGCTTCTCAGACATCTATTGTGTAGGAACATCTCACTTGCCAAAATTGATTGAACAAGCAAGTCAAAGGTCATTTGTTTATCATAAGTATTTCTGAGTTGGATAAAATACAATGTTTTTGCTTCTTATTTGTTATTTTTAAAAATCTTTCTTAAAAGAATCAAAACATGAAACATAATACCAAATTGTGTTTACAAAAACAAATTATCACTAAACAGACAGATATCAATTTTAACTGTTACATTTGACATGTACAAAATGATTTGAAAGCAAGTTAGAAAAAAGCAAAAGAACTTATTTTTGTAGATTATATTGAAAGATAATTATTATAGTTCTCTTATTATGTAAGAGGTTTGGTAAATCACACATCATATCACCCAAGAATTAAAGAATGAATAACTGAAACATTATGAAGCTCAAAAATGAAATTGGGGTTGAGGATGATGATAATAGGAATAATTTACCCCTGCATTTTTATTGGGGTGCTCAAAGGTTTTCTGGTTCAATAACTAGAATGTATAGCGACAAAGGCCATTAAGTTCTGTTGGGTAACTCTTCAAATTTCAGCATCTAATGTATGAATATAAAAATATAATAAACTTATATAAAAGTTAATTCATGATGTTTTATTCACACTGTCAACTTTGTATATATGTTTTTTATAGATATTTTATTGGATTTATATTTATCATTATCTTTTTCTATAAACACACATATTTATGTGTGTGTGTGTGTGCGTGTATATATATATATGTATATATATATATATATGAAATGGATTATGTCCGATAATTATTTAATATATTTTCTGCTTATGTTATTTTTATAGATACACTTTATTTAAGTAAATGCTCTGTTTTTTTAATTAAACAGTATTAATTACATTTACTGGCCTGAATGTTTGAGAAATTTTCTAGAAAATATGTGTTCCCTGACAGGAATTGAACCTGTATTCCTATACGGGAACTGTCATTTGATCTGATGTGCTATACCATTTAGCTACAGAGAAGCATCTGGTTAGCAATGTCCAAATTACTGTTTTTAAACATACAATCTTTGAAAATTTTTCTTAATCAATAATATCTGCTCATGAAACTTATCTTAAGGTAAACAATGACAACATATAATGAAATGGGTTAAGTCTGACAATTATTTAATATATTTTCTGTTTATATGTTATTTTTATATAAGTAAATCCTCTGTTTTTTAATTAAACAGTATTAATTACATTTACTGGCCTGAATGTTTGAGAACTTTCATAGAAAATATGCATTCCCTGACAGAAATTGGACTTGTATTCCTATTCAGAAAACGTCATTTGATCTGACGCACTATACCATTTAGCTACAGAGAAGCGTCTGGTTAGAAAAGTCCAGATGTTTACATTAAGGTATGTTTTGTGAGCAGGTTTGATCAATTGAGAAAAATCATCAAAGATTCTCTGTTTAAAAACAGTAATTTAGATTTTGCTAAGAAAGAGAAAATGGGCCTTTTCTAGTTCTTTTGTTTAGGTTTAAACCTTTGGTTTATTTAAGATCATGACCTTTTAATTTGCTTATTTATGCTAGTTGGATGGTTGGAAGAAGTGTGAAACTGACAGTCGCCATACGCTGTTGATTCTTATATCTGCACTGTCTATATCTATAAAATTCTGTCTATGATATTGAGCACTCTTTCCCTATAAATATAGCATGTTTTAAATTGATAGTGAATGTAAATGGAATGTGCCAGGTAATTAATAACAAACTATAAAGAAAAAATATAGACAACCTCAAAAAATTTGTATATATAAAAAAAAAAAATATGTAAAAAGGAAAAAGACAGCTTGATACTCTTGGAAATGAATGCATGCACAAATTAAGTGATTCTTGCTCATGTTGGTCATCATGTCCATGATATTGTGAGGTTGCTGTTTGGTCCTCCTCTTAATCTGCCTCCCAATTAGTAGTCCAGGGAGATGCAAATCAGAAGTGATTGTGGTGGTGGGATGACATGATCATGAAAATTCTCAATCACTTCTGAGGGAGTAGTCTTGCTTGAAGATGTATCCTCCCCAACTCCATACTTTGATCCACTGCTTGATCACTGTACTGTGTCCAGTACCTTGATGCATAGTATTAGCATTGATCTTGAAGTTCAGCCAAAATCTGAAATGTGATAGCATCTCATGGCCCACATTGCTTATGATCCACCCAAGACAATGTAAAGTTGGTGTACAACATTGTGGGTCCCTTCATGAGGTCTGTGTATATTCATCAGTCATTCCATCTGTTCATTTAACCAATTTCAAGATGTGACTAGTGGCACAAGCATAGTACACCTTTTCATTTCCTGTGCCAGAATGTTTAAAGCTGGTGCATGCTGTATGACATTACATTAGGTTTTCTTTCATTTGTGACCTGCAAACTGCTTTCTAAAATCAATGGTGAAAAAAGGCTTTGAGTCAGTAAAGCCTGTGGGTCTTGTTAAAAATCACACTTCTTTGAACTTTGTAAACTTGTATTACAGAATCACAAAGAACTATACTAAATAATAGAAACCACATCCATTGAGGACTACCAACAGTGGCAATAACTAAAATGGATTGCACATGTAACTAGAAGCAAAAATTGGATAATCAAGATGTTAACATTCCACACTACTTCAAATAAAAGGTTTGGGAGGAAACCCTCATTAGTACTGGAAAAAGTGATAACAACAACTACTATACTTCGGAAACCTATTTTCTTGAAAAATTGTTTTAAGAGAAAGATTTTATAAATTTCAACTGAAAGCTGCATTGGATGCTTGGTCAATGAATGCCAAATGTTTCCTTGTAGGGAAACAGTTAATATTACCATTACCAAAGATGTGTTCTTAAATATTTGATGCACTCTGTGTTTATGTACATTCTGAAAAGTTCTTGGCTTATCTTCTTTTTTTTTTTAAAACTAATATGCACCTAATACAAGGCCCAAGAGCCGCTCAAAGTAGAGGGTTACTGTATGGAGTTATATTAGCATAGACAAGGATGCACATTAGGAGTATAGAGCTGAAGTAGACTTTAGAAGGAACAGGAACAAGGAATGAGAACTGGACAATAGGTAAACCTATCTATTCCAATTGGTGGAGGAGAGTAAAAAATAAGTAAATATAATGAAATAATTAATAAAATTTCAGAGTGCAGGCACAGACATTAGAAATACATAGCTGAAGCAGACTTTAAAAGGAACCAGAAACTCAATCCTAAACAGGAAACAAGGGATAAACCTTTACTCCTGTTCAAAAGGCTGGGGCAGTGTGTGAATTGGATAATAGGAGAACATACTTATAAAAATCTGTCCAAATGATCAACTAACAAGATTCTGAAAAATTCTATCTTGGTTGGACTGAACTTTTCAGTTTAAAGAAATTTCTGTTTATCTTGTTTTCTTTAAAACCTACTGTATTTTAAATAAGAAAGATAGGAAAGTTTAAAATAATAGCATTTATTGTAGCCATTTTGATTGTCAAAAGCGCATGTCTGTTTTTTTTGTTGTTATTTTGAATCTGTGTTAAGATTTACTGTTAATTTTTTAACTACTATATTTTAGGGAAATTGATGACAAAGTGAAAAAAAATTTATGTGATACATTTTGTCCTTTATGGCTTCATTGGACTAAAGTGGTGTTTATAATGATGTGACTACACATATGCATGAAGGAGAGAGGACACTGAAACTGAAAATTTAAGCATCATTTTAGCTTGAAGTAAACAATGTAAACATCAATTTTGTCTGAAGTCCTAAAGGACGAAACATGTCACACACAATTTTTTTATCATTTTGTCATAGCTTTTCCTAAAATTATTCTTGATATGTAAAAATTTATATATCATTTTCCCATAAGTACTATATCACATGTATTTAATTATTCATAATTCTTATTTCAAATTATATGCAAAAGTTTTGTGGATTAATCTCATGGCATGTGATTAATTAAATGTATAATAAATTCCATAGAGTAACAATTATTTTTTTGTTTCAGGTGTTGGTCTTTTAGATCATCAAAGTTCAATATCAGCTCGTTATCTTCCTAATTCTGTGATTGGTAAGTTTTTTTTGTTTTTTTTTTTTGATAAATTATTGCTTTATCATCCTCTGCTAATTGCACTTCGACAAAATGTATTTCTTGGAATTAAAATTATGGACAGTATTTCTAAGCTATTATTCAAAAAATTCATTTACATAATTGTTATTTACTGTCACAAGAAATAAAAAAAAAATGGATGATTGATTTTCTGGCATCATAAACTTTATTAGCAGAATAAATTTATGGTGTAGCTCATTGTTAGATGCCATTTTAAAAACTTGCTGCATTTGTTGGATATACATATTAAATTCTGTATAGAAGTTCCAACATTGCTCTCTAAATGCCACAATGGTTTTTTTTTTTTTTTTGAGAATACGGCAAGATATTGGTTGTTGTAAATCAAAATTTTTTTCTTTTTTTAACAGTAAGTGATCTAATTCAAAATAGTATAAATTCTCTCATAATTGATTATTTACTAAAATAGCGACTAAAAAAAAAATGTTGGATTCTAGTTACTAGTTTATTTAATTTATTTTAAAAAAAATTTATGTTAATATCAGCCATTATAGTGCATCTTATAGCCTACATCCTTGTAACTTTATATTTGTAATTTATATTATATAATGTTAATTTAAATTTTCTGTTAATATCAACCATTATAATACACTTGCTAATGCTATCAAACCCAACTGAACAGTTATTTCTCTACAGTATTTATTTATAATATTGAAGAATATCCATGTTATTTAATCAATTTTATTTGTAATTTTCATAGACTCAAAAATTAAAAACTTTTTTCATTTTTCCTTATGAAAAAATTGTATTTTTTAGATTTCCGCCCTACAACACGAGCATCCATTTCTGTGATTTCTGTACAGCATCTGAAGGAGAATTGTCAGCAATGGATTGATGCGTAAGTTATTTGCTGTTTTTTTTTCTTTTTTTTTTTAATATTTTATCAGAAATTGTAGCCTCCACCCAATATTGGATTTTCTAAGTTCTCATTATCATTATAAAATTCATTGAAACTTGGGCTGTTCATTTCTCACAGTATTGCAAGCATAAATGTCTACTTCGATATGAGATGAGCATTCATGTATTCATTTAGACATTTCTCATCTCTTGTAAGGATTTTTCAAGAGACTTTGTTTTTTCTTTAAGATAATTAATAGAAAACCTTTGCATAATTTGACTTGGCCTTTTTTATGTAAGTCAATTATTTACTTCTCAGGTGAGACTCTTAGAATAACTTTTGTATGCAGCAATGTGGACATTTATTGATGTTTGAAGGCAGCTTTCAGAAGTATCTCAATTAAAAAGGCCATGTGTTACTTTCATTATCACATTGGTACCTATATAAGATTTATATTGACTGTTATGTTTAGTAGTGGTGCTGTATGTTTAGCACTTCATTACCCATAAAAGAAGTTGCCTACATAAGTCCTATCTACTAAATTTGAAAAATTGTACCGCTCAGAATATTATTTTTATATCAGAAATGTGCAACTAAAGTTATCAAATCTGGTTTGAAATTCTATAATGGAAAATCATTGTGATTTGGTGACTCCAGTATCATCATACTTATTGTTTTTATCACTTGGTTTTAACTTGTGCTCTTCATCTTGTATCTTAATGTTTACATTTGAGAAATTTTGAATCTTTTTTTTTTTTAACATTTTGCAAATCATGAGGGCATAATGTTCTAATCTATTGTTTACTAATGTTACATCCATGTTTTATAGATTCTTGCCTGAAATGTGAGCATAAAAATATAAAAAAATGAGAATGCTGTTAAGAAGTTATTTACTCAGTTATGATTTTTTTTTTTTTACTTAATTTTTTAAGTCAATAGTTTCATTCTATATGAGTTTTGTCATTGTGATTAGGCTTTATTAAACCTGAAAAGAGAAAGAATTAGAAAATGAGTATTTCCTCATAGAATTGATTGTTTTCTTGATATAATTTCTTTGTGAGAACTCTTTGAGATACTCTCATGCAGATAGTGAGTTTAGACATTGTAAACCTAGTTACAAAAGTTCTTACAGATAAGGTCCTATCAGTAGTTTGTGATAAACAGAATTCTCTTCCTTATGGATAGACAGAGCAGTATTCCAAGAGTCAAGCTAATGGAGAAGTTGACATTGTGTGTACAAACAACATATTTCCAATTGGAATTTGACACACATTAGCAGGAAGAAGGTATGGCAATATGTCTGCTACTGTGTCCATTGATGATAAATATATACATGGAATACACCAAGGAAATGGCTTATGATTGGTATAATGGAATCTGCTGATATGGCCATGATACATGGATGAAACTTTCATCCTCTAGCTCCACCAGGAAGATGGACAACTCCTGCTGGATCATGCAAACTCAATAAGAAGTTCAATATAGTCTATGATAGAGAAATAAACAGATAATAAACTAGCCTTCATAGATGTACTATTAGGTTGGTGCAAAAATAATGTCGTTTTCTATTTTGAAGTTGAACGTCAAAAACCGACATTATTTTTGCACCAACCTAATAATAAATCAACCAGGATAGAGGTTCAAGACCTCCAAATATTGTAAGCTAACATTCATAAGATAATATATAAATTTTGATTCTCACTATCCACAGCGTATGAAGAAAAGAGATCATCCATTGTCTACAACATGGAACTAAACCTATAACCAGACGGCATGTCTCTGATATATATATATATATATATAGTGCAAATATTTATTAATACGAGCATGTAGCATACTGAATAGAGAAATATTGTTTTCAGTTTAATGCACAAATAATAAATATCTTCATTATTTAATTAACTTCTTTTTTTTTTTTTTTTTTTTTTTTTTATTCCAGTTGCATTCAGAGTGTCAAAATAGGAATGTGCAAACTGTTAGGATTTGTGAACACTGTGAAGAGACTTGCAGACATCCGAAAGGAAGTTTGGGAACTTTTGTTACAGGTATAAAAAATGATTTATTTTATTTAATTTCTGTCTGTGTGACAATATCGGATCTTAATATATAATTTATTCTTTACTTACTTTAAATACTTATGGCACTAGTTCAAGAATAAATGAGATATAATAAAATATCTCCTTATTTAGATTTTCTTTCTTCTCAGCATTCAAAATCCTCAAAGCATACTTTTCATATCATTGGATTTTATCATGAAAATAAAAACATTGAAATAGTACAGATATTTTTTGTATTGATCGACTGATGAAGAATTATTGGTGTATTAATTTGTTGGAATTTTTCTGTTATAAAATGCTCAGAGTTCTGATATTTCCTCAAGATTTCCTCTAAATAGACAATTTTTAATCTTGATTATGATATTTGTCTTCCATGTCTCTGCTTTTGCTTGTACTTTTCTTACAAAGGATTTTTTACTTTTTTTTAAATTGAGTTCACCCCATGCAAGGCAGTGAAGCCACTGAGACACAAGGGATTACTGGGTGTGGAAGAGTTAGAAACTGAAACTTTGCTAAGGAATGAGAACAAAAGAAGAGTAATCAAGAGGACAGCAGATCACAATTGACATTGCAGATTAAAGTTAGTTGGAAAGTATAGAGCTGGAAGGGAGTTGCACAAGCAAGAAGTGCAAGAAAAGAAACTGTTAGCATAGAATTTATGGTTACATCTAGCCAACTCAACTCAAATTTGGTGAGACCTTGTCACCAGTCTAGTATGGTGCTTAAATTCAAAGAGTCTAAATATCATAGTGAAGAGCTTATCTGAACAATTACCATGAAAGTATTTATAGAAAAGGCTAAGGGAAGCAACCTTATAGTGGTGGGAAGGTGATTGAAGCTGAGATGCTAGATCAGGACTAATGATATTGCTGAACAGTGAACCTGATGATAAATTGTAACATATGCTGCATTTGAAACAATCTCATGTAATCGACTGAGCAAAGATGTCTCAAATAAAATAAATATAGAATAACGTATGTGTCAGATTAGGAGACAATTTTAATTGACGCTTTCTGATTCATTAATTTTTTTGACCATAGCAAATTGATTTTAGATTATCATTAACCTAATTTGCTGATTTTCTCTGGTCAGAAATTCATCCAACCTATAGTTAAGTATGGCATAAAATGAGCAAGAATTTTAAGCAGTTTTTTTAAGATAAGATCCTGTGTGTGCATGCTTATGCAAGGTTTATATGTTTTTTTTTTATATTATGCAAACTGATAGTGGTTAAGAGAATGTTCATCATATTCCTATCTGTCTATATACGTTATATCTTAATAGTCTGCAAGTCAACCTAATTATTCTTCCCCTGTTAAAACAATACTTTCTAAATTAACTGTTAGCCATTAAAAGCTGTTCTGTTTGTGTGAAGCCTTATAAATATTGTCAGGAAATTGATATTCGTACTTACTTGATTATTGTTTGCCTTGTATCCTCTTTAAAAAATCCTTTTTTTTTTTTTTATTTCACTTTTTCTTCAAAACTCAAAACTGCCAGAGGCTAATTAAGCACACTTCTGACTTCATTGTTCCTACCATGTGTTTTTCTTTTCTTTTTTTTTACTGCTTTAATAATAAAAGGAGCTGGTGCATTATCAGAATTGAGTGGTTGGATAGATGCAAGGCTTCTTATGTTTATATTTTACTTGGCCAAACTACTGAATCTATTTCAGTTTAAAAAAATTGTGGACATACTTCTTAACATTTCAGTATGAGAATTCACTTAACCTATTGGGATGTGGCCAAATCATTCAGTCTTCTCCCTATCTGGTATCTATGTAAGAGATGACAAATTTACAATCTTTTCTTTGTTTATGTGAAAAGAGATGCAATTGACATTGTGCAGTGATTAGCAAACTTGCAAGACATTGATAATGCTTTTAAATCTCAAGTGTTTCATGTTTGTGAACTTGTGCTAGTTTAAGCAAAAGAAATACTTTGCAATTTACATTTCATATAGGTGTCAGTGTGACAGTAAATTAATTCTATATTCTTTTGCCTTTATGAATGAAGAGTAGAGCATTGGACTGTTGGCTTAGATATTTGGAATTTTAGTTTATGTAAGCTGGATGAGACCTTTTACTTTAGGAAGCATAACTTAGTTAGAAAATAGGTCTTTCTCTCTAGCAGTTTTGTTCTTGTAAAATCTAAGAGAATAGTTTTAAGAACCTGTTTGTTTCTAAAAATTGACACCTGAATAATTAAGTAATTGAATGATTGGCAAAATAATCTGTATATTGCAGGAAAACGTTTGTTGAGAATTTCTTTTATTTTTTTAATTGGTCACTTGGTAAGGCATTAGGAAAGAGAGAGAGAGAGAGAGAGAGAGAGAGTGTATAACTGAAAATCATATAAAGACTAAGTAGGATTTTCCAAAGGTTTTGGTTGTTTTTTTTGTCTTTGTAGCACAGTTTAACCATCATTCAAAATAGTTTTAGTATATGAGAAACAAGACTTTTCTGCATTTTTAATACATTATCTCTCTTTTGATTCTTTTTCAAATCTATAACATTATGGCATGAATCACTTCAAAGTAAATTTACCAGATGTGTATAGAAATATAAATGTTACAATTGTTTAAGCTTCTGAACCTAAAAAACTGAACTAATTGCATGTAAAATACCTGATTTTAAAAGTTAGTTGTCTCATTCTTCTGTAATTTGTGCTTTTGCTTTTGTTAGGAAACAAATTTTGACCAGTGGAAATTAATCTGTGAAAGGATATTCAATAGTGGTCAGTTGATGTCCATCTGGTCAGTATTTCTAAAGGAGCAGTTTTTGGACAGAATCAAGGTAATACTTTATCTTATACAGTTAAATCATATTTAATGATTGGTATGAAAATATATGAAAAGACTACTTACTCTTTGTAGAAACATGAATTTCTGAGAATGTTTTCTTAATAGTATATTTGTGTAACCATTTTGTATGAAGCCCAAACCAATTTCTAAACTTTCAGGAAGACTTATTGGAATCCTCCAATTGTCATTCATTTGGTACAAAAGAGAATATTACTTAACCTTGGGTATTCACTGTTCTATAAATCAAATCATGACCAGCAGAATGTTTTGCTACACAACTGAAAAATAGTGTAAAGGTCATCAACTATTGGTTTTAATTCTTAATGTTAATGAACATGTGAAAATTAACCCTTTTCTTGTTGTCCATTTCTTTCTGTCAGTAATTTTAAAATCTTCAACACTGTAAAGTTTTTAAATATTTTAAAATAATTTAATACTTCACAAAGGGATTAATAGTAAAATATTTTCTGAATTCAATAAAAGTATAGCCAACATAATATTTAGAATTTATTTTTTTATCAGCATCAATTTTAAAGAGGTTTTACTTGCATATTAAAGTCTTCAATCATTTTATCAAGATTTATCTTAATAAAAATTAGTAAAAGTCCTAATAGTGTAACAATATTACTATATATTATTTTTATATAACATGTTCTCTCAAATAATGTAGTTGGTTTGATTTGTTTCATCAAATTCTAGCAAATATAAATATTTTACCAAGTAGAAATATCTAAATAGTATTTGAATGTTTTCAGTTTTGATTTATAATTATAGAATATTGATGAATAATTAATAATCAATAGTGGTCATCATTTGTGATTTTCATTTTGGATAAAGTTATTTTACTTTTAAAAAAATGTCAATTTTGAGATTAAACTGTAAAAAATATACTTCATGCGTCTCATGATAATAAAATACAATGTAGGTGAATTATTGAAAGTGCATCAATGTTTTAAGATTTGATTTCAATAAATAACTGTCTTTGTTAGAAATTTTTTATACTATTTTGTTAAAATTAATATGCTGCATTAGTTCATCTGTTAAAAGATATATGCAGGCGTTTATTTTATTGTGGGGAAATATGTATAGACATATATATTATTGGCTGAATGCTAAAACAAAATGTTCCATAATTAAAGTTACTATAAAAAGTGCTATTATTTACAAAGATACAAAACCTGATTTATTAACACAAATATTTTTGATTTTTTTTTTTTGTTCTAAATTATTTTCATTTATTGTATATTTTCAGTTTAAGTCTATGATATTTTTTAGCTGCAATTTAAATTTTTCAAAATTTATTATATATAAAATGTATGTATCTATACTTGTACCTATTCAGAGATGTCTATAAGTCTCAATTGAAATTTGTGAATCATCTATACTTTATAAGTTTTCTGATAAGAGATTTTAGGACTGTTTACAGAGTACTAGAGACATTTTGGCCATAAACCATTAAACAAAAGAAATGTCTATTACAATTAAGATAATAGCTACAATAATGTATCAATATTTTGGCATTAATTACAATATTAGCATTTATATATATATGGGTTTGTGCTTTTTTTGTTTGTGAAGTTGATACTATAATTTGAATTAAAACTTTGATTTCTATAACTTTCCTTTGAAAAGTGATACAAATCTTTTGTTTGCAAATTTGTACATTTTTCTAATGTAAAAAATATGTCAAGACCAAAGACCAAAGACCAATGGAAGATCATGCAAAAAATATAGTTGAGATTAATTAAGACAACTTGGATAAGTGTAGAGGCTTGCAATATATTAATTAATAATCATATATTAAGATTATTTAATTAATTTTTTAGAATTCTTATATTAATTTCTGGAATGTGACTTTTTTTTTTTGTTTTTTCAGTCTCTCATTCAATTTCAAATGGATTCTACTGCGGAAGTTACAAAACGACACATTTCCAAGGTTGTCATGGAATTGGCAAGTCCTAATGAAAGGTAATCCTTTTTGTTTTATGAATTCCGTTATTTTGAATTGCAATAAAACTTAGCTTTTTCATTCTTTCTTTTGAAATTGATGTTTAAAAATCAATTCATAGTTGTATCTGAACTTTTTTTCCATTTTCTAACAGATCCATGATGGCTGAAGTTGATTTAGCTAATTTTATTTGGATAGAATCAGTTGGAGATATTCCTACTAACACTGCATGGATACCTGCAAGTCAAAAGACACTCAATGAAGGAGGTGGACTTTTAATGAAAGCACGCACATTTACTCCAGCTGTGCTTTGGTAAGAATAACATTTCATATTTTATGAACATATTTTATGACAAATATGATCGTATATGAAATATTCACTGAAAAAAATATCTAAAGGTACTGGGTGTTAAATTTTGATCTACTGTTGATATTGCATTCAAATATTAATATCTTATTTACAAACAAGTTTCATATCTTTGGACATCTTTTTCTTAAAAAATATATTCAACAATTTTTCAGATGATGCACTAAAATTAAATTTTACTCATTTTCTGTAATTGTTTTTAAAATTGTGTGTGGTGGAGAGAATAATTGCTTTATTTTTTTAATTATAAGTGGATTTGTTGAGTTATTTTCTGCTTATGATATTTTAGTTTATATTTTTGTTGAAACCCAGAGAAATAACATACGTTTTATATACTTGAAAAAAGGCACTATTAAAAATTGGCTTTGTTGTTGAGAAGGCAAATATTTTTAAATTAAGCTTTTGAAAAAAAAAAAAGATAAGAGGGTTAATTTAATAATAGATATTTGAGAAAACAATGTCATTTTATCAAACATCCTGTATCCTAAAATTAATTATGACAGATTAGTTTGTATGATGATATTTTTGGATAAATCTGATCTTTTCATATCTCATTCTTTTTCACAAAAATATTTTTCTTTTAATTCAGTGCATTTTCATCTGATTGTTTATACATAATTTCTCACTTCTTTTTCCCCCCTTAAATTAAAAGGTCATACCACAGGCTTATTTACTATGGAGAACATACAATTGTTATTTTATCTTAAAAAAAAAAATATTTGTTTTCATTGCAAAAAATGAAATTGAGAGACAGAAACATAGAATTAAAATGTCATTCAAAATGTTAATTCTTCTTGATTTTTATCAGATCTCATGAGAATATGTCCTTTCTTTTTTATGCTTTTAATATTCATGGATGAATATATATATAAAAAAAAAAGGTTATCAATCACTGTTTTTATTTCCCTTATCATGTTTCCTTGTTTCTATCTTCTACATTATCAATTTGCCTTTATTTCTTTTTTATGTTCTTCTACATGCAAATTTTCTTTTTCATTATTGGTATGCTACCAACAAATTGGACTAAACTTTCATAAACTTTTATGTTCTTAAATTTCTTTACAAATTAAATGAATTTGAAAGTAACTTGATTTTTTTCTACATGGGGATCATAATCTGGAATTTTCTTCTGAATTTTATTTTTTATTGCTAAGCTTTTTATGAATCCTAATATTTTGTCTTTTTTTTTTTTGTTGTATAAATGAGAAATGAGAACTGGAGAAGCTGAGTTACTATGAAAGATGATGATTAATGTGAGAAAAATTGCTTTTAGGCTATAAATGTAAGCAAATTCTGACAGCCAATGTTTATTTATGGTTGGTGTCAAGTGATTGATACAAAATTAAAAATAGTGAATTATGTAAGAATAAAAAAAATGTATGTGAAAGCATGTATTAGTGCATCTTTATACACTAGGTTGATTGGCAGTTAAAGTATTGAGATCTACTCAAAGCTGATTAAAGATCAATTGACTATTTTGAAGCCGAAAAAAGCATCCATATTTTTATAGAACTTTCAGTTGGGTTCTATTTCTTTATATAGTAAATATTCTTGTATAGGTTTTTCAACATTTGCTTTCAATTGTAAGAGATTATTATTACTGTCTGGCTACTTTTGTTATATTTCCATTTAGCATAGTAAATCAAAAAGTGAAAGAAAAATAGAACATATAAAAAAAGTGGTAAAGCGATGTATATATGTATCTTTATTTTGTTGTATTGAAATTTCTCAGGACAAAGTATCTGTCCTCATTAATTGAAGGGAATAATTAGAAACTTTTACTCACACCTCTGCTCATAAAAATGAATATATTCTGTATGTAAAATTTAATTGATAATGACTTGATACTTTTTGAAACTTTATTGCTTAGCAATTGCAAATACAGAAAAAAAATTGATAAGTATAGTGATAAATTTCAGTGTTAGTTTGAACACTTTGGGATTGTAACCAAGTTTTTTATTATAATTAATTATAATTTCACTTATGACTTGATATAACATTTAAACACTTTTGACAGTGTTAATGACATTTTCAATTTGCTAAAAAATAATTATTTATACAAATTCTTAACAAACAGGAAAATAATTTAGAAAATGATGACGAGATGTAATGTTTACTTTTGAACAAAGCACATGATAGTTGTATTCCTTAAGCTGTATACATGCAAATAGGAAAATTGTGACAACAGCAAAATGATTCAATAATAGACATTTTGAATTTTTATTATGAAGAATTGTTTTTTTGTTTCTACTTGTTTCTTCAAACTTCTAAGAGATTTTTATTGCAAAAATGTAAAAAATATCATAGATTAATTGTGATAATGAAATCATTTAAACCTTCAACATTTATAGCGGGATGCAGTTTTGCTAAAACATTTGATCTCAATGTTGAAATATCTGTTATGAATTATATTAAATTTAGATTATTTTTTCATCTATCAACACCCTTTTTTATTGTCAACAATGGATATGTAGTCAACAAAAGTTAATGAGGGACACTGTAGAGGTAAGGTGGTGTTGAAAAAAAAGTTAACCAATAAATACAGTGCATTAACAAGTCATCAAAAATTGGCAAAGTTAATAATTTAATTGAGGTGACTAATTTTCATAGGAAGTTACAAAGACAATATAAATAGCTATGGCTATTACTCATGAGCAGTTGAGTGCATACTACTTCCTGTGAGTCATTAATGATATTAATATTAATTTTTCTTGGGAATAATCAATTAGTTAAATGGAAAAGTTACAAAAAATGCCGGATTGATAATTAATGAAAAAAAAGGTGTCCACAACACTAAAAAAAATATCATTTTTGGGATATTCCATATTTAACAAGACATATTGTCAGAGCAATTTTTAATTGACAAAATATTAAAAGTTCAAGTAGTTAATTTAGGACTTGTAAATTTCTACAGATGATATTTTGAGTGATACTCTGAATTGACAGAACATTTTGCTGCTTTAAGAAAGATAGAATGTAAAATTTATTTGGACAATTGAACAACGAGTGGCATTTGAAAATTTAAGAGCTGTTCTGGCAAAGAAGCCAGTAGTAAAAATATTTGATCCTAGAAAGGAAATAAAAGTAACAACTGACACAAGTGAACACTCCATCTCGGGGTTAATTTAGGATGGTCATTCTGTTATGTATCTTTCAAGAAAATTGTGAAAAGCCAAATTGAATTACTCAAATATTGAGAAAGAAGTATTGGACATAATATAGATGACAAATAGAGCTTGTCCATTTCTGATTTGAAAAAACAATTCTTACTAAGGTCTAACCATAGACCTTTAGAATTCATATTTAATCCTAGAAAGGAAACTTCCTAAAATAACATCATCTAGAATTCTAAGATGGGTCTTAATGTTAATGGCATTTGACTTTGATATTGACTATATAAAAAAGCAATACCATTCCGCATGTAGACACTTTGTGAAGATTGAGGTTTATTACTTCTGAAAGTGAGAAAGAGTTGGAAAAATTTAAAGATACTTTCTTACACTGGGTTGAAACTAATATTTTGTTGATAGACAAATTAATTGAGGATATGAAGCAAGATCCCATATTGGACAGCATATTGTTCAAGATAAGAAATAATAAGTGGAATAATTGCTCATGAGCAGAAAGGCTTTTTAAAGAGGTTAAACACAAGTGTAGAAAAAGGTGTAAAATGTGCAATGCCAGAAGAAAATTTACATAGACAAAAAAACATACTTGGCCTAAAGAGTCCCAACCTTGGGACAGATAACAAATGGATAATGTCCATGTCAATGGTGTGGGATTATTACTAATACTGGTAGATGCATATTCAGGCTGGCCAGAAATAATACAGGTTTCCAACAAAAGAAGTTTGATTGTAAAACAAGCATTAAGGATCATATTTTCAAAAAATGGAATTTTGAAAACACTAGTATCTGACAATGCCCCAGAGTTCCATGGTGAGGAACTATGTCAATGGTTGAACAAAACTGGATGCAAGCTATATAAAACACCCCTGTACCATCTGCAATCAAACGGATTAGCAGAAAGGATGGTGCAAATTATGAAAAAGGGATTTAAGCTATGTGTACAATGGAAAGAAACAATAGAAACATTTCTTCCTAGATTGTTGGTAAGCTACAGGACCATGCTGTATGCTGGTAGATTGAAAAGTTCGTCCCCCTTCATGGGTAGACAAATTAGAGCCCCAGTTGACCATGTCTTATGTCACCAATGAAAAACTGTGGAATAAAAAGAATAGTGAATCTAATTTACAAGAGGCAAGTTTCATAATGCAAAGTGGACAGAACAATATGACAACAAAAAAAAATGAAAATGAGACATTAGTGCATGTAGACCAAGTTAGATTGCAACATAATAACGAGGAAAAAATGTACAGTGAGTCTGAAAGTAGTGAAGGCGAGAGTGTCATGTCAAGGCAAGACAAACATGACAGTGAAATTGAGAGTAATATAAACTCTGAAGATGAGCAATCATTGGAGGAACACTCCTATGAAAAAAGAAAAAGGTCAAGATCTCCCATATCTAGACAATCTCTTAGGGAGAGGAAGGAAGACAGTGAGGGGGCAAAAGCTCCCAGAAGAAATACCAGAGAAAATAAAGGGATAAAACCTCTCTGGTACAGGGAGATGAGGTGAATCATTTACATAGGAAGTCACAAAGTCTATAAATAGCTACGACTATTATCCATGAGGCAGTTGAGTGCATACTACTTCCAGTAAGTCAGTAATAATATCAATATTATTTTTCTTGGGAATAATCAATTAGTTTTCATTGCATTGAAATATATCATTTTTAAGTTGCTATAAGCATAATAAAGGAGGGGTTGAGTGCGTACATAGGCAGTATATTTTTTTCACATGATGTCCATGCAGTGGGAGTAAATAGCTGTTGTCTCTGCTGTTGGTCTTCACAGATTGAGGTCTAAGCATAAATACACACCATCT